ATTGTTGCTGACTACTCTACCATACCATGAAACACATTAAAAGATCCCTATCCTAGAGGCTGTGAAACCACTCCTGATGCATAGTGTAAATTTTATTTGGCTTATTATTTTTTGCACTGACTTGATGGGGAATTTTTTTTGGGATGTGAAGTTGATCTGTATTTGCTGCTCATACTGAGACTCGTGTGAACTGAAATATGCTCTAATCACCTATATAGCCAGAGACTATACATATTTTATGATGCCATGGTATGCATCCTTTGCTGGATTTTAAAACACCAAGATATTCAGATTGTTTCTTGGTACCTGCATCTATTGACTTGTGGAAATGGATAGACAAAGGCATTCTGAGAAATGGTCTTATTGCTTGATGTGATCAAGAAGGGCTGGTGAAACCAATCTCGATGCATTTTCTCCCACAGGAAAATTCCTGTGATCGGGAAGCACACCAAGGGAATCACTTGTGGGGCATGGAGTCAGGAAAATACCTTGGCTCTGGGAAGCCTCCTGTTCTGTGACTGGTAGAGCTTACGGCTCCCCCTGTGGTAGGCTGTCCGGCAGGAGTCCCGGCTCGGCAGCCTGTATGTCAAGAGACTTTACTTCGTTCTACTCTCCCGACGACCCCTCTTGTGAGTATGTTTAGCTCTGTTATCAAGGGATAAAAGGAATGTAGTAATAGGGAGCTTAGATGAGTGTTTTGTGTTTAAGTGGTTCCCAGTCTATAATTTCCTGTCTAAATATGTTTGAAATAACAAATATTCTTGGTGTAGAAGATTTTCCACCTTCAGCGTTCCATTTTTATTTCCTCTTCTCTTTTACCCTCTTTGTGTAAATATTAGACCTAGTAGTATTGAATAAATTCTGCCACCCCTGCCTTTTTAAGAGGGAGAATTTGAATGTCAATATTGAAACTTGGCAAACTTCAGTCAAGACTTTCAACCTCGACTGAAATGAATCATTGTTTCTATCTGCCAGGTGAGCATGGTGATAGGGAGAAAGACCCTGTTTTTGCTGCACTTGAATGACCCTGAAAACCCAATAGAATTGGCATTCCAGAACAAGTATGGGCATATTGTAGCCTATGNTGCACTTGAATGACCCTGAAAACCCAATAGAATTGGCATTCCAGAACAAGTATGGGCATATTGTAGCCTATGAATGGTGAGTGAGCCTTGTGTTGAGCTGCATTCAGTTTAGCTTGCATTCCCTTTCATTTTGATCCCTTGTATGATTGTGTACTGATTGGGGAAATGCAGAAATTTTTCATATAGTCTTTGTACTCTTTGGGATTGCATCCATTTTGTTCTCCACATGATGTGCCTGGCATATTTTATTAGAGTAACTGATCAGACAAATTGATGCATTTCTCTTGACAGGTTTGGGGATGGTTACATCTTGTTGGGATTCAGTAATGGGTTCTTCGTAGTGATTTCCACCCATGTGAAGGAGATCGGGCAGGAGCTGTTCCAGATCAAGAACCATAAGGAGTCCCTTGCTGACATAGCCATATCCAAGCCCCTTGGAAAAGCAGCCTCATGTGGAGACAATGTGTAAGGGAATCTCATGCTTAAAGCAGTCTGAGGTGATTATTGGTGCTCTTTGTGGGGATGTAGGCTGTTGTCAGTTGCATAGCATCAGGGGGGGGGGCACATATCGCCCCCCCCCCCCGATGGAAAGTTTGCATGAAATGCCAGAGAAATGTGCCCCAGGGTTCCTGTGCCCTCCACTTTTACCATCTGTGCTAAACTTACGTCTGCGGGGGATTTTAGGATAGCCTTCTTTTCATTTCAGAAGCAGGAAAAAAGAAAGGTTTCTATGGTTGGTGCTCTTTTGTGACCTTCACAAGGGCACTAACTATACATATGTGGATGACACCTCACTAAATCAGGGTGTTTCAGCAAGTGGAACTACTACTTGTGTTGGGGGTGGGGTTCCAATCAGTTGCAATGGCAATGCTAGTGCCAGGTGCAACAATGGTGGCACTGGGCTTGCATCCTCTACTGGGGACGTTGCATTGTTCCTTTGTTGAATGGGCTGAAGGTTGAGTCCTCATTGTCATGCAACATTTTTTTGGGATGGAGTTAGTGGTTGAACTAATGTATCATTGGTTAGTTCACTAAGAAATCGTAATAACCAGCAGACATAACCTAGTTATGACCCTGCTCTATGTAGGTCTCAAGGTAGATAAATAACTAGTAGATTTTTTTTAGTTTCATTGCATCACTATATTCTGAATATTTAGCACTATGGAAGATTTATCATATTTTAGAAAAGGCACTACAAATCCAATTTCAAAGAAGTGTCAGGGCTCAGTTCAGGTGAGCTTTTGGCTTGCTTTAAGCCTTAAGGGAAATTCATTAATACTGGTCTTCTGTCTTCCTTGCAGCAAATGACATGGTTCTTGTTCACGACAGGGTGAAAGTGCACGAGCTGAGCGAGATGAAGGAGATATCGGAAGTGCTGACGGTGGAAGACGAACGGCACCTCGATGCCATCGAGTGGTCGGCCGACGGCCAGCTCTTGGCGATGTCCAGTCCTCGGGGGAACATTTACGTCTATCTGTCGAAGCTGCCTCTGCTCGGAGCAAGCCACGGCCTTCGTATCGCCTATCTCACTTCTCTTCTCGAAGTCTCCATCGCCAGTTTCCAGGACAAAGTGAGCCTCTGAGTTGGAATGAGAGTTGTGCATGGGGAATCTTTTCTTGGATGCATTAGATATATTTCCAAGGGATTGAAAAAATGAGAGAAGTTTGAAAATTTCTTCTTGTCTCTGCAATGCTGAAATGTATCCCTTAACTCCCCATAGCCCATGGTGTTGTATTTGTTATAGGGCCTGAGAACTTAATACAGTTTAATGACCATAACTATGGGTGCTTCCTTTCTGAAGGAAAATGGGATGATTGTAAAAGATAATGGTGCATGATGTGGTTTGGACTGTTTGCAGTTCATGCATCATTCATTTCTGACTATTCTTGACTCCCTAGTAGTAAGCCTATATTGTTATGCAGAAGAGTTTGCATGCAGCTTTTCATGTTTTCAGAAGTGAAATATCAGTGATTCATCATTTTGCAGTTCATGCATCATTCATTTCTGACTATTCTTGACTCCCTAGTAGTAAGCCTATATTGTTATGCAGAAGAGTTTGCATGCAGCTTTTCATGTTTTCAGAAGTGAAATATCAGTGATTCATCAATGTTTGGTGGCCTTTGTTCACCTCCATGTGTAATCAAAGCTCCTTGTTCATGTGTTGGCCTTCAGATGTACACTCTGATCCATGCTTCAATCACTTGTACTTTTGTAATCCACTCTGGACTATGGATCGTGAGCAAGAGGCACCCAAATGGTGTCAGGTTTCAGCAAGTGAAGTTATGCAAAAATAACTTTCCAATATGGCTAAGCCACTGCATGGCATGGTGAATTTGACCTGAGATTTCCTTTTTCTGCAAGTTTTGTGATTTCTCCATACAGTATCACTTTGTTCTTTGAGCTGCTTTTATGTATCTGGATGTCTGGATTTCATAAATGATTCTTGTAGAGTGATGGGTATCTAAGATATCTTATTCCTGAAAATAGAGTATGCCTACTGAATATATCATAGTTGTGCTTTGCTTATAAACTAAGCCAGCCTCTAGTTTGGATCATCCTGGAAAATGTTTCAGAGTTTTTTGTTTTTCCATGTCATAGGAGAGTGGGATGATGTTGAGGATCCCTGTGGAGCCAACATTCCTGGCCTTGGGGCCCTACCACCTGGCCATTGGAATGAACAATCGTGCATGGTTCTTCAGTCTGGGGGAAGAGGGAACTAGGACAAGACACTGACCATCTCGAATGCCGAGGGGGACACCATCCGACAGGCCGTCCTCAGGGCCGAGCCGTCGGACATACAGTTCTCTGAAATGAAGCAAGATGAGAGGGCTGCTGGGGAGAACACTGTATGTTTAGCTCTGTTATCAAGGGATAAAAGGAATGTAGTAAAAGGGAGCTTAGATGAGTGTTTAGTGTTTAATTGGTTCCCAGTCTGTAATTTCCTGTCTAAATCTGTTTGAAATAACAAATATGATTTTCTTGGTGTAGAAGATTTTCCACCTTCGGCATTCCATTTTTATTTCCTCTTCTCTTTTATCCTTTGTTGTGTAAATATTAGACCTAGTAGTATTGAATAAATTCTGCCCCCCCCCTGCCTTTTTAAGAGGGAGAATTTGAATGTCAATATTGAAACTTGGCAATCTTCAGTCAAGACTTTCAACCTCGACTGAAATGAATTATTGTTTCTATCTGCCAGGTGAGCATGGTGATAGGGAGAAAGACCCTGTTTTTGCTGCACTTGAATGACCCTGAAAACCCAATAGAATTGGCATTCCAGAACAAGTATGGGCATATTGTAGCCTATGTATTGTTTCTATCTGCCAGGTGAGCATGGTGATAGGGAGAAAGACCCTGTTTTTGCTGCACTTGAATGACCCTGAAAACCCAATAGAATTGGCATTCCAGAACAAGTATGGGCATATTGTAGCCTATGAATGGTGAGTGAGCCTTGTGTTGAGCTGCATTCAGTTTAGCTTGCATTCCCTTTCATTTTGATCCCTTGTATGATTGTGTACTGATTGGGGAAATGCAGAAATTTTTCATATCATCTGTTGTACTCTTTGGGATTGCATCCATTTTGTTCTCCACATGATGTGCCTCGCATATTTTATTAGAGTAACTGATCAGACAAATTGATGCATTTCTCTTGACAGTTCAATCTCCTCATGTCTCTTAATCTCTTAAATCTCCAACTCCAATGCAGAACTTTTTTTGGACAGGTTATTGCAGCTTTGGTTATGCATTTTGTGTGTTACTGACCTTTGGAAATGAAACTAAATAAATTAAGTCAATTTTGCTTGCATTTCTCTTGACAGGTTCGGGGATGGTTACATCTTGTTGGGATTCAGTAACGGGTACTTCGTAGTGATTTCCACCCATGTGAAGGAGATCGGGCAGGAGCTGTTCCAGATCAAGAACCATAAGGAGTCCCTTGCTGACATAGCCATATCCAAGTCCCTTGGAAAAGCAGCCTCATGTGGAGACAATGTGTAAGGGAATCTCATGCTTAAAACAGTCTGAGGTGATTATTGGTGCTCTTTGTGGGGATGTAGGCTGTTGTCAGTTGCATAGCATTGGGGGGGGGCACACATCTCCCCCCCCCCCCTGATGGAAAGTTTGCATGAAATGCCAGAGAACTGTAGAACTGTGCCCTCCACTTATACCGTCTGTGCTAAACTTACGTCTGTGGGGGATTTTAGGATAGCCTTCTTTTCATTTCAGAAACAGGAAAAAAGAAAGGTTTCTATGGTTGGTGCTCTTTTGTGACCTTCACAAGGGCACTAACTATACATATGTGGATGACACCTCACTAAATCAGGGTGTTTCAGCAAGTGGAACTACTACTTGTGTTGGGGGTGGGGTTCCAATCAGTTGCAATGGCAATGCTAGTGCCAGGTGCAACAATGGCGGCACTGGGCTTGCATCCTCTACTGGGGACTTTGCATTGTGCCTTTGTTGAATGGGCTGAAGGTTGAGTCCTCATTGTCATCCAACTATTTTTGGGATGAGTTAGTGGTTGAACTAATTTATCATTGGTTAGTCGACTAAGAAATCGTAATAACCAGCAGACATAACCTAGTTATGACCCTGCTCTATGTAGGTCTCAAGGTAGATAAATAACTAGTAGATTTTTTTTAGTTTCATTTCATCACTATATTCTGAATATTTAGCACTATGGAAGATTTATCATATTTTAGAAAAGGCACTACAAATCCAATTTCAAGAAAGTGTCATGGCTCAGTTCAGGTGAGCTTTTGGCTTGCTTTAAGCCTTAAGGGAACTTCATTAATACTGGTCTTCTGTCTTCCTTGCAGCAAATGACATGGTTCTTGTTCACGACAGGGTGAAAGTGCACGAGCTGAGCGAGATGAAGGAGATATCGGAAGTGCTGACGGTGGAAGACGAACGGCACCTCGATGCCATCGAGTGGTCGGCCGACGGTCAGCTCTTGGCGATGTCCAGTCCTCGGGGGAACATTTACGTCTATCTGTCGAAGCTGCCTCTGCTCGGAGCAAGCCACGGCCTTCGTATCGCCTATCTCACTTCTCTTCTCGAAGTCTCCATCGCCAGTTTCCAGGACAAAGTGAGCCTCTGAGTTGGAATGAGAGTTGTGCATGGGGAATCTTTTCTTGGATGCATTAGATATATTTCCAAGGGNATGATGTGGTTTGGACTGTTTGCAGTTCATGCATCATTCATTTCTGACTATTCTTGACTCCCTAGTAGTAAGCCTATATTGTTATGCAGAAGAGTTTGCATGCAGCTTTTCATGTTTTCAGAAGTGAAATATCAGTGATTCATCAATGTTTGGTGGCCTTTGTTCACCTCCATGTGTAATCAAAGCTCCTTGTTCATGTGTTGGCCTTCAGATGTACACTCTGATCCATGCTTCAATCACTTGTACTTTTGTAATCCACTCTGGACTATGGATCGTGAGCAAGAGGCACCCAAATGGTGTCAGGTTTCAGCAAGTGAAGTTATGCAAAAATAACTTTCCAATATGGCTAAGCCACTGCATGGCATGGTGAATTTGACCTGAGATTTCCTTTTTCTGCAAGTTTTGTGATTTCTCCATACAGTATCACTTTGTTCTTTGAGCTGCTTTTATGTATCTGGATGTCTGGATTTCATAAATGATTCTTGTAGAGTGATGGGTATCTAAGATATCTTATTCCTGAAAATAGAGTATGCCTACTGAATATATCATAGTTGTGCTTTGCTTATAAACTAAGCCAGCCTCTAGTTTGGATCATCCTGGAAAATGTTTCAGAGTTTTTTGTTTTTCCATGTCATAGGAGAGTGGGATGATGTTGAGGATCCCTGTGGAGCCAACATTCCTGGCCTTGGGGCCCTACCACCTGGCCATTGGAATGAACAATCGTGCATGGTTCTTCAGTCTGGGGGAAGAGGGAACCAATTCATCCGTCCCTCCGGAGCTGGTCCGGGACCGGGAATACCTCGGGACCGTGCAGGATCTCCTCATCAGCGACACCTACGCCTCCGTCCTCTACGAGGGGCGGCTCCAGCTCCATCTGGTCTGCCTTTTGGCTTGTCTTTGCATCTCTCATGATCCTGCTTTCTGCTTTGTGCTGCATTTTTCTCTCTGGTTTATTGACTTTGATGTGGGGCAGGTCAGCACAAAAGGGTTGTCAAAAAAATGTGACTGACCTGCATGAATCAATTAGGAAAAGTCATTCTCTCCCAGAAAGTGTCTACAAGCCATGGAATTTTCAGAGATTGCTGCTTCATTATTGTCCACAAGTGTCATCACGGGATATCAAGGAACAGAACAGCAGATTAAATTGAGTCCTAGTAGAAATGTGTCTCATCTTGCTTCACATGGCAGTTTAAACCTAACCTTCTTGGATTGCTTAGCTGGATTTCCAGGGGAAAGGTGGTTACACTATTAGTCACTGTTCTTTACAATGGGCCCAGAAAGGGAAGAAGCCAACTTAATGCAGAATTCAATGTTTGTGCAGACATTTCTTCTAATGAGATGACTTGAAGTAAATCCTATCAAAAGCAGAAACTCACATGACCAGGGTAATATCCCAACTATCCAGGTTTCACTTTAGCCAGGTTTTAGTGTATCCCTCAAGCCCTGGTATGTCCTGCATCTTATAATTGTCATCTTTGAACTGTGAACACCATTTTTGGTGCAGGCATTAGTTTTTGGAGCATTTCTTTCAAAGCGTTCTTCACCTTGCAAAAATGGCTGATCCCAAAATTTAGAAAATTCATTCTTCAATAAAATGTTACTGGCCAAAAATATTTGAAAAATTCAAAGGGATTCCTTGTAACTATATCTAACATCTGGGAAAAAATCAGCAAACTGTTCTTGAGATTCAGGGTGCAGCTTTTCTTTTAGTCAAGGTTGAAATGGAGGTTAACAATCATGGACTCAATATGAATTTGTGACAAGCTGCATGATTTCTTTCTGCAGTATCAGGAAAAGCTGTTTATCTTGAAAAAAAAAAGAGATGAGTCATTCATTATTGCCAGATTGAGGGAGAGGCAGGGGAGGCAGAAGAGCGGGAATCAAAGCTCTTCCCGGACCGAGAGCATTCCAGCATGATCATCACTACGCATGCGATCACGCCGGAATTCCTCATTTACGCATCTGATGTATGCTTTTATGCTTTCTGAGTGGAAAATGTTTCAATCCATGGATGTCTTGAGGGTAGTGTGATTTTTGCTGCAACAGTCGGGTGGGATCTACTTCTTCCACTTGGAGGACTGGACCATGGCGAGCGAGTTCAGGCACACGACTGGGGTTCGAGACCTCTTCCTGCAACTGGGTGGCCTTCATCTCTTTCTGCTTGATGATCGTGTCAGTGGCCACATTTACAACCCTGTGAGTTGTGCTTTTGCAAGTGGCGAATGTGGTGGGATTATCATTACAGTCTGGCTCAGTTGTAGCAAAGCACCTAGGGACCATGAAAATTTTGCTGTCTTTTAGTGAACTTCTTGCCTGGACTATGGATGGAAATAATTTGTCAGTTGCTATGTGAAAAGACATGCAATTCTCACTTGTGAATGTTCCATCCTTTCTCTGTGGCCCTCAAAAAGCAATAACCAGTGCTTCGTTCTGTTTCTGCCAAATTAATGTAGGATGGGAATATCTCCCGTGTGGCTGTCGAGAGAGTTATACCTTCTCCATAAAACTGCAAAATGCCAGTAATGTGGCTACTGGAGATTGATTGAAACATTTGACTAAAAGCTAGAGTAGAAAAAGAAAAAGTGGAAGGTTTTTTTTTCCCTAATGCTGGGGTGTCCACTACTGGAAAGTCAGCTTTGGGAGGACCAGTGCCATTCTGTGCCTACAGGCGGCACATTTCCATTTCATGGGGTTTTATTGCATAGGTATCACTATCAAAGGTAAATTCATTATTGCAGCAGCAGAGATCAGATACTGCTACTGCAGATTTGTGGGGGCTAAATGGCAAATTATTACCCCTGCACATTGTTCTAAGGTATGCATGCCCTTATGTGAAGTTTATGGAATAGTTCCTTGATGTTGTGGTATGTAAAGGAGTTCATGATTGGTGACAGTTGCCATGAAGTTCAAGCACCATGACATGAAGTAGTATGAGCTTGATTCAGTTCAGAAATGTATATGGTCCCTTTACTCAGGCAATCTTGTGGAGTAAATCAGTGCAATCCAACTGCATATACAGTAAATTCAATTTGAATAAGACTCAAAGAAAATGTGACAAGATGTTTCCATCTCATTCTTGTGTGATGTTTTGTTTTAATTAACTTCAGCTATGATGAGATCCTTGTGACAAATCCATGCAGCCCTGCTGACTGGCAGCAAAGACAAGTGCCTGAAATACCTAACGTTGAAACCAAAACCAGGTGTATTGAATTGGATGGTACTGGTATACATACATTTTGTTGAAATATCAAGGATAGGATCAAATGTCAGGAATGTAAAACTCCATGGAGTGTTCAGGATATTTTGTTGGACCTGCTTTCCCTTGTTTTGATCCCTTTAATCACAATTCATATGGGTGGTTTCCCATGACAAAGAGGAATACTATATATGTCTGTATGTCTTCTTGTTTGTCCCTGTGGATGAAGGGGTGGAAATTGAGTATCAGCTGTCATTGGACATTTTGGAATTGCAGGTGTTGGACGAAACAGTCCCAGTCCCAGACTTACCTTCGAAGGTGCGTGGAGTGTTGTGGGACACGTGGCCTGGAGAGTATGCCCACGTCTTTGTGGTCTACGATACCGACTTTGCTTACTCATATGTGTTCCTGAAGGATTCGGTGGCAGGTAAACCAGCTTTTGAGTCCTGAAGCTCAGTAATGTATATGCTGTTCACCATACACTTTGCACCATTTTATCATTTATATATTTTTGTTTGACATTGTGAAGCGACCCTAAAGACTATGCATTGCTTGTATTTAGTCATGTTAGTTCCTTTCCTGAAATTAATTTTTTGCTATTGACAAGTTCACTATTGTATTCAACTAAAGCATTTGACATCCATTCACGACCATACTAAGGACAAGGGTTGGGTGTTGATTCCCATGACAGGAGGAGGGGTGGTGCAGCTTGGCAAGACATTTCTGTCTCCTGGGAGTCGTCCTCTACTGCTCTGCAACGGGGAGTTGACTTGCCAGACGGCCGGAGGGAAGCTGGCGACCGTCACCCTGGCGTCCCACGACAACGGCTCCTCTGCCACCACTGAGGTTCTCTCTGCCATGAAGCGGGATGAACTGGAGGCTCTCCTCAAGCGCAGTCTCGCACTCCATCGGTATGTTTATCCTTTGTGAAATGGTGGAAAACTTGTTTGCAGTGGTGGAGGTTCCCCCAAAAAGTGATACTACAAATTCAGTTCTTGTCACCATGCATCACTTGGTGTCAGTTGGCATGCCTAGAGGTCTGATTTTAGACTGTGTATGGAGCTGTGTTGTGAGGGGTATTTGTTTACATTGAAGGCTGAAACAAGCTTGGAGGATATGTGAGGCATTGAAAAGTGCTGAAGCTTGGGACCAACTGGGCAAGACAGCTTTGAATGACCTTGATATTGAGACAAGTAAGGTTTCCTATTTTCTTGTTCCTATTACCAATTTTCATTGAGAAAATTCAAGTGTTTTGCTGCAGACTGATGCTATATGTATGTTATGTGTATATATGCATCTTTATTCCCTTGCTAAATTGCAGGCATCAAAGTTTATCGTCACCTTGGAAATGTTGGGATGGTGTGGTCCCTGAAGAAACTGGTTGGGATGGAAGACAAGATGCTTCTGGCTGGACATGCAGCTATGATCCTTGGGGACTTCACGCGTGCACAGGTCCATAGACGGTTTTTCCTCTTGTTCAGATTGTACCATCTATCAATGCCTAATAGCTGGCAGTAGCTATGTAAAAGAAATTGAGAAGTGTGTGGCACTCTGTAGGAGTTGTACCTGCGATCGAATGAACCGAGGGCAGCCCTGGACATGAGACGGGACCTCCTGCAGTGGGATCAAGCGCTGCAGCTCGCAAGGAAACTTTCCCCCGATCAGATCCCATTCATATCGAGGGAATATGCTCAGCAGCTGGAATTCATGTTAGGAACAGGAAGAATATTCATTCAGTTTATTGTAGAACTACCAACACTTGAATGTGTTACCTTTTCCATTCTTAATGCAGGGGTGATTATGCCAACGCATTGTCTCACTACGAGAAGGGGCTGCTGGACGGCCGCCTCGAGGACGACGAGCAGAACATGGCATGTCGGGCAGGCATCGCTCGCATGTCCCTGCGATGCGGGGACCTCCGTAAGGGCCTCGTCCTCGCCGGGCAGCTCAATTCCAAGTCGCTGAAACGGGAATGTGCCGAGATCCTGGAGACCATGAAGGCGAGTCTAGGTGTCTCTGAAGACTTGATAACTGCAGCTGCATTCATTTGAGTTCAGCCTGATGTGAGTTTTGATCGGTCCGTTCCATAGCAATTCAGTGAAGCGGCCTCACTGTACGAGAAGGCCAACCTTCATGAGAAGGCAGCTGCACTTTATATCAAGATGAAGAACTGGCCAAAGGTTGGGGAACTTCTAGCAAACATCACCTCTCCCAAAATTCATCTTCAATATGCCAAGGTATGTCTCCCCTCGAACTTTTATGATTTTCTCTTGCATTTTCCTGAGACAGTAAGAACTAACTGGTTCGATTGGAAAAGATTTTGCTTACCTTATCTTGAAGGTCTCAGTTGATTTGCTTTTGATGTTGGAGACTGTCCACATTAAGACATCAATAATTTTTTGCATTAACATTTTTTAGTGCTTTGATCAAATATGCTTGGTCATAGTATTGATTGAGGTAAATGTGTGAAAAATGCCCAAATGATAAGTCAAAATCTGGTAAATATATTATGGTTGCAGTGCCCAAAAAAACTGAGTGCTGACTGTTGCTGTGTTGCCATTCACAGAAAGACTCAGCTCTGCAAGAGTTAAATACCAGTTCAGGAGCCTTTTAGTTTTTATTGTCTACAAATTTTTGTGGAGTGGTGCTTTGGTGATTTTTCATAATTTATTTCCTTTGAGTTCTTCAAATCCTCAGATCCCTTTTTTTAGTTTGATAAATTTTTCCCCACTCTTTCTTCTTTTAGACATATTGTGGATGTAGTGTCACCATCACTATTCAACTACTAATGGCTGCCTTTCTTTCCCAAATAGAAATAAAAATGTTTTGTGCAGATTGATAATGAACAAGTAATTGGATATGTGATAATAACCCTTTACAAAGATAGCTTGATTAGTCAAGAAAAATACTGCAATATTGGCATACTTTGCAGTTGGAGTGATGTTGGATTTCACTTTTGTCTTGAGAATTCTAAAGATTCTTGAGAATTGAACCTTCTAACATCCTTTATTTGGGGGGAGGCAATTCTCACTGGATGATGCTTGTGACGAATCGATTCCATCTGTAGGCGAAGGAGGCCGAGGGTCGGTACCGGGAGGCGGTGGCAGCCTATGAGATGGCACATGATTATGACAGTGTGGTGCGCATCTACCTAGATCACCTGAACAACCCTGATGCTGCCGTGACCATAGTTCGCAACACAAAGAGTGTTGAAGGAGCCAAGAAAGTTGCCAGGTCAGTCGGTTGGAGGGCCAACATCATATCAGAGAGTACTTCTTGTAAGCTGCCTCATAATAGGGGATTCTAGTCCTCTTGTAGAAGCCTCCAATACACTCATGCATGTTATCCTCTAAAAAGAGATGTCTTCATATAGTTTCAGAGGAAGTCAGAAGGAGGAAGCCTGTATATAATTTACCAGAAAATGAAAAGGGAAGACAAGATGTTCTCTATTATGTATTTTTCTCTCATTAATGTCAATAAATGAGTCTTTCATGTTTCCCTATCATGATCCCTTTTAATAGAAGTCAGAGAAAGAGAGAAGTGGACATAAATTGTGGTCTTTGATTCCATTTCACTTGTCTTGTTTCTTCTTTTGGGAACTGGGGATAAAGCAGATGCTTGTAGTCTTTATAGATATAAGAAGATTCTGGCATCTCTACGACAAGCAAAGACATTTGATCCTTAGGCTGACATTATTACAGGAATATGGGTCTCTATCTTTAGCTATGTTTCTTCTTTGTCCCAGATTCTTCCAGAAACTGAATGACTACTCGTCGGCCATCCAGTTCCTGGTGATGTCGCAGTGCAATGAGGAGGCATTCCGCCTTGCCCAGAAGTACGGGAAAATGGACATGTATGCGGAGATCATCGGGTCGGAGGCCTCGCCCGAGGACTACAAGAGCATTGGCCTTCACTTTGAGAACGAGCGGAATCCATTCCTGGCAGGGCGGTTTTTCCACCTGGCAGGGCAGCATGAGCGGGCACTAAAGCACCTGATGAGAGCAGCGCAGAGTGGGGCAGAGGAGGCAGCAGCGCTCCGTCTGGCCGTGGAGGTGGCGGCAAGTTCAAGCGATGAGTCCCTGTCGAATCGGCTCGTGGATTTCCTGCTTGGGGACGTGGATCAGGTGCCGAAGGTGGGGTTGCTGCTTCAGTCCATGGGGGGGAGGGAGGTTGTTGAGCTCAAAATAAGGTTTTGCAAGGATGCCTTCTTTTTTTTACTAGGACCCTCGGTACCTCTTCCGTCTGTATATGGCCAAGGGACAGCTTCGAGAGGCAGCCAAGACAGCGATCATCATTGCCCGGGAGGAACAGAACAATGGTATGGTTGCCCCCTCTTGTATTCCTTTGTTCTCTTGGGTGTCGTGAAATGCCTGGTGAGTGGATTCAAACTAAATTTTCTGTGTGTTGACCTCACAGGAAATTATCGCAATGCCCACGATGTGCTGTTTGGGATGTGCCAAGAGCTGAGGAAGCAGAAGCTTCGAATGTCTGCAGACATGGCAGCAAGCCTGGAGCTGCTGCATTCGTACATCCTGGTGAAGCTCCACGTGAGGCGGGGAGAGCACCGGATGGCAGCTCGCATGCTTGTCCGTGTGGCAGATAACATCTCGAGATTCCCTGCACGTGAGTTCTGAGTCCGGGTGCACCGGGTTGTCACTTCTTGGGTGAACAGTGAGGGGAGGGGTGGGGGAAAGAGCAAATGCCCTCTTTGTTTTGCATTCCCAGTTGAAGGCCTGCTAGGAAAATGGTCTGTCTGCAAATAAAAGTCACAGGTCTGATGTATGAAGATCTCTTTCTTGTGGGAGTTCTGTGCTTGGGAAACCAAACTATTTACATGTATCACTTTCCCATGCCTTGCTGCCCATTGTGGTTTATGAAGGTATGACCATTAGAATATATACTGCACTTTTGCTTGTCTGTTTATGTACTGTTCTATAGTGGTGTTGAAAGAGTGGACTGGTCTCCTAAAAAGAGGGCTACCACTATTACAATGAGAGAGGATGCTATAGTTACAGAGAAATTGCTATAAAACTGGGTAATTGTGCAATGGCTTCTGGGGTACTGAAGCTGTGCAACCATTTTGAAGCATGTGGAACCATCAAGAACCAAACTGGGAAGGGAAGAAAGAAAGCAACAGCACCACAGGCTGATAGAAGAATAATAGTAAGGGTGGCTCTGAAGTACAGGAAAGAAACCTCTGGAGGTATCAGAAAAGTTCTTTGTGACAGTGGTGTCAATGTCAGCAGTAGAACCATGCACCATAGGCTGGTTGATGCAGGGTTAAAGGCCAGAATATCTAGAAAAAACCATATCTGAACGAGATACAGCAAGTGATGAGAGTCAAATGGGCCAAAGTACATCTGTAATGGACTAAAGATTGGAATAAAGCATTTCCATATTTTGTAGTGACGGTGTGAGACACGTTCAATGTAGAGTCAGAGAAGACTGTTTTCCAGAGTGCACTATGACTACAATGAAACATCCTGTGAGTGTAAGTGTCATGATATGGGGTTGCATGTACAGGAGTGCTGTGGGCACAAAGTGCTAGACAGCAAGGTGCTTGCCATATATGAATGAGGTACATCAATGAGGCATTGGAGCCAAAAATGCTTACACCTGCACCGGACATTCATGGACCTCAGCCTTCCTCTATCTTTCAACAAGATGGAGCCTCCTTGCCACACAGCTCAAAGATACAAGGCATGGTTTAAGGCAAATAATGCAGAGCTTCTGGAATGGCTAGGGAATAGTTGAGACCTTAACCCTATTGAGAACTTTTTGCAAAACTGAAGCACAAGGTTTCCATATGATGGGTGAGCAATAAGCAGGAGTTGATTGCAGCAATCTCCAATGCTTGGTACCGTATCATTTCTTCATTTCTTCTGGAGATTTGGAATGACTTCACTTGATGTCAAGAAGATACTAGGCTGTAATCTAGGCCAAGGGTTACTCAACATGCCATTAATAGCTGTTTTAGCATAGGGTATTGTACTGAATTGGTTTTGTAGATCGCCTGTATTGGGGCCTTAATTGGTATAATTTGTTGATACTATTCCCATCTAAATGTGTCACTTTTGTTGAATAACTACTTCTACTGTATAGTGTAATAGTGATTTGTAATGGGATCCAAATCCAATAAACAATTATTCATATGAATATAAATTGGCTTTTGTGAGGTGTTTCCATAATTTTAGCTGCTAGTCTCGTTAATCTAGACTCCAGCGGACTGCTGATTTTTGTCCAGATTAACAGTTCCTCAGAATTATGGTGAATCTGCTTGACACCTCATTTTTCTTTATTTTGTTCCTTGGATTTGGGGGATGAGAGCCTGGTTCTGTGAGATTTCAGCCTTTATCTCATCTTTTGTGGTTGCTTCTCCTTTCAGAGCAAGCTGCTTAGTCAACTTTCCTGCTATAAGGAATAAATATTTTTAAAATTTTCAGACAAGGTCCCGATCCTGACGTCGACCGTGATCGAGTGTCACCGCTCGGGACTGAAGGAGTCGGCGTTCAACTTCGCTGCCATGCTGCTGAGGCCCGAATACCGCGATGATATCGACCCGAAATACAGGAAGAAGATCGAAGCGATTGTGAGGCGACCCCCACGGGATGGGGTGGGGCAGGAGGAAGAGCCAAAGACTCCTTGCCCAGCGTGCTCGTACCCGATTGCGGAGACTGGACTCGATTGCTCCCAGTGCAAGAATCACCTGCCCTTCTGTATTGTCACTGTTAGTCTCTATCTCTCTCTCTCTCTCTCTCTCATGGTTGTAGGTCTGGAAGAACATTTACCTGATGTGTCGGTCTTCACAGGGTCGACATTTGGTTCGCGGGGATCTGACCAGTTGCCCTCGTTGTAATTTCCCTGCAATTCGCTCTGAATTTGTCAAGTGAGTTTTTCCACTTGTTCTTCATGTTTCTCCCTTTCTAGAATTGCAAAACTACATGTGTCTATACTTAAAGCATGGCTTGTACCCTCTTGTTGCGTTATTTACTGTTGACTTTGAGCTATGACAGCAATGAATGCACACATACCACCTGGTAATTGATTCTTGGATCCAAATACAGACTGGTTGGGAGTGGAGACGGCTGTCCGATGTGCTCGTCCGGCGACTTGAAGCCGGACGACCTGCCTCAGCTGAGCGACCCTACCCCTTTCCTCCAGCTAGATACCAGTACATGAGCCACCATCTAGGAGACATGTGTACTGGTACCCAGGACTAGGGAGCAGATTTCCGTGCATGTGTTTTTCATGCAGCCTTGTGGGAGCATGCCGATCAGAGAGGAAGGAATTGATGTTCTTTATACCCATAGAAGTTCATATTTTGGCCTTTTTTATGGGATCCTGCTGATATTTTCAAATCTCATGCAGACATCTCTTTGGAAGGTGGAAGTTGCCTATTTCTGGAAAGACACTATTTCTTTTTTTTTTTATAGGTGTCTAAAAATAAAAGAAGGAAGGAATTTGTCACAAGCTGCTTGTAGAGGCAGGTAGGCCCATAAAAGAGACTAGCTACACTGAAGTAATGATTGATATTAACTCCATGTTGACATTTGGATCTAAAGTTCATATTTTTGCATTACATTCCTTTTTTTTTACATATACTGATGTATGTATGGTCTTTTTCTCATTTTTTTTGCACATACGGTATTGCAGAACTCCTCCATGCAAAAAAAAATCTGTTCCCTGGTGATCACCAAATCCCACCCAGTTCAGAATGGGGGCATCCACTTGCATTCAACGTTCCCACGAATCTGTGCCGGGTGAAGTCTGTCCACTTTGCACTCGTGCCTCGATCTCGTGTTTTTCAGGATCCCATTGTTGCCTTTCTATGATATAACAAATTTCATGTGATATGTAGCACTGTTCCCTGTGCCTCATGTACATTTGAATCCGTCCAAAGAGTGCAATCCCACCTTTTTACAAGTGCCATCATTCAACCCTTCTTGTTTTTATTTATTGGGTGTCAATGCACTTTTGTTTGTTTTTTGTTGATTTTTTTGTAAGAGAAATAATCTTACTGATCCTGTATTTCATGGAAGGAAACCAGCTACAGAAATCGTACTCTGTGCATATTGAGCCTCCAGGTTGTTCGTCGAGATGCCGTCCGTTCGATGCGTTGAATCTCATTTCTCAGGTCTGTATTCCAAGCCCCTCCCCAGATGTGAGGCAGTTGTATGAAATGTGGCATTTTGAGCATGACAATAAATGTTGCACAATGAATATATATTTCTTGTTTTTTTTTTTCTTCAAATAATGTTGAATTTCAAAAGATGTAATAATGGGACTTTGCTGTCTGAAATTACCAAGGAGAACCAGATCCCCTGGGCATTCCTGTGAAAATGTACCTTCAAGGACGAACCGGAGTAAACAAGGTTGAATCTCCTCGGCGCATGCATCAGACAGTATGATACACAGGGAAACCAACTTTAAGGTACTTCATGGTCTTTCTAAGCCTCAACTCTAGGTCTTAGCACTATTTATTGTTCTTGTTATTTATTGTTCGAGGTCGTGTCCAAAATTGTTTCACCGAGTGCAAAAAGACGGAGGCCGTGATCCTCTCGAAAAATCCAGTTGAGTGCAACATGCACTCAGTGCTGTCAATGAGGTCCTACAGGAACGGATGGAGATGTTCAAGTACATTCGGATCTGGTTATCGAGTGAAGGGCGATATGCAGTAGAACCGAGATCGAAAACCACATCTTCAAGGTTTCAGCTGGTTTGGCGAACCGCGGTAGACAGGTCGGAAGTTTGTCGAGAAGCGAACACTCAGTATTTCAGAGTGTTCAACTCCCCTCATGAACGTGAACATTGGGTACTG